ACAGCACCATTTCTCCCTTCATTTCAGATATTGATCAAGCTTTGGCTCTGTTCAATGAGTTGAGGGATCAGGATCCATATCGCATCGATAACATGGACACGTTCTCCAACCTGCTCTATGTTAAGGCAAGTTCACACAACGTCTGTTTTCACTTCTTCCTCCAAGTGTTTCACAGGGAAGATAGACATCTAAACAATATCAACCAGTAGGGATACAGTGCATCGAACACTGGGACAGATGCTTACTGACACAGGGGTTCACTGTATTATCTGATGATGTTTATATTTGATTTCTGAATTATTTCATGGATTTTCGCTAAGAACTAAGTGGGAGGAAAATGCTAATCTACAACAGACTGATGTTCATTTAAGGACCCATTATAAAGTCACTATTGAAAGAAAATTTGGTTCTGCTGATGCTAATGCATGTTTCCACAGAGCATGAAGCCAGAGCTGAGTTATTTGGCCCACAACCTTGTGGAGATCGACAAGTACAGAGTGGAGACGTGTTGTGTTATTGGTAAGTGTAACATAGATGTATCATAGCTTGTCATAAATTGTTTGTAACTTATCAAAGTACAAAATATTAACTGGTTACACCTTCATGGGTGTATTTGCTCATTTGGCATGTCACTTTGTGTAAGTGGCGCCTGCCGATTCTGTAAAGGCACATGACAATTCTGAAGTGGTGTGCCACTCGTTCTCCAGTGACGGATACCACTCACATGTTATAATGAATGTGCCATATATAAATGAATGTGAAGTTATTATTCTTTTTGATCAGTCAGATTATATGTGATGCTTTTGAACACTGACTGAAAAATAATTTAAAATATCTCTGCTGTGTAACCAAGCATACATACAGTATGTACACAAGACAAGCTTCAGAGCTATTGTTCACTTTGATTACATGCTGTAGCAGAGATCTTTTAAAATTACCTTTCACTCAGTGTTACAAAAGCATTGCACATAATCTAACAAATGATCACAGAGAATGACATTCGTATTTTTATGGCACACATTGTACTGAAGCATCATCCGCCTTGGAGAACAGGTGTCACTTCTGAATCACCATGTGCCTTTATCAAATTGCCGATCTTCGATCTTGGCACAACCGCTTTTTTAAATGTATATCCTATTAAAAATTTGTCAGGTTTTCAGACATGAGAACAACAGTAATTTGTGTAATAAATCATGTTTCCTCCACAGGGAACTATTACAGCTTACGCTCTCAGCATGAGAAGGCAGCCCTGTACTTCCAGCGGGCCCTAAAACTAAACCCTCGCTGCCTCGGTGCCTGGACCCTCATGGGCCATGAATACATGGAGATGAAGAACACGTCCGCTGCCATCCAAGCCTACAGGTCAGACAAAGGGTGTAGTGGATAGAAAATCTTTGGATATCTCAATGTCATGCACAGTGTGTGAATGATGAACTCTTGATTTTCAGACCAATACTGGTACTGTGAGTGTAGTTTTCCTTGTTTCTATCCATGTTCTTTCAGGCATGCCATAGAAGTGAACAAGCGGGACTACCGTGCCTGGTATGGCTTAGGTCAGACATATGAAATCCTCAAGATGCCCTTTTACTGTTTATACTATTATCGAAAGGCTCACCAGCTCAGGTATGACTTTCATAACGGTGTTTCAGATGATGAAAAGTACATAGAAACAAAATGTACTAGATATGTAGCCTTTGTACATCATTATTTGTATTGACATAATTTGATGTACTCTTGTAGGCCTAATGACTCGCGTATGTTGGTTGCACTGGGAGAAAGCTATGAAAAATTGTCACAGCAGGTGGAAGCAAAGAAGGTATGTGTGTTACAGCTGTTTGTGGGTCATGGTTGGTGTAATAGGTTCACTAAGGTTTCTGGCTTGTGTTTTATTTATACAGTTGCATACTTTATTTTTGTCTAGTGTTACTGGAGGGCATACTCTGTTGGAGATGTAGAAAAAATGGCCTTACTCAAACTGGCAAAGTAAGTTTCTGGTTGCTGTATGATGAGTTAAACAGTTGAAGAAAATCAAAATGTTAAGGTGTAAAAACTACATCACATTTGGTTTAATGGTTAAGTAAAGTTGAGATCTGATTTGTGGCTTTTCCCCCTATTGACATATCTGAACATTATTGGTATTGGCCGGAAATTAGAGCTAAATGCATATTCTGACTTTCTTTTCTCCTTTCTTTTGGTAGGCTCCATGAACAGCTAAATGAGTCTGATGATGCTGCTCAGTGTTACATGCTTTACATCCAAGACATCTTCTCTTGCGGGGTAAGAGTTTGAAGTGTCACAGCAGCGTATTAATGGCTGTGGGTTTGGAATGTGATGATCAGCTGTAACAAATGAGCACATCCACATACTTTAGGCCTTGTATTGTATGCATTTGGGCAAGGCCTTTCTAATAAATTCTTGTTACAACAGGAACAGCTGGAGCACGCCGAGGTGAGCACAGCCCTGCGGTACCTGGGTCAGTACTACTTCAAGAACAAGCTCTATGATGAGGCATCCCTCTGTGCACAGCGCTGCTGCGACTACAACGATGTAAGTAGTGTGCCTGAGCACCCTGTTCAAGTTGTAATAGAGTATAAGCAGTAGTAACACACTGGCTGGTGTTGGTGGTCACTGTTTGTAGGCCCGTGAGGAAGGAAAGGCTCTCCTGAGGCAGATCTCTCAGGTTAGGGATCAGAGTGAGACGCCATCTGCAGACCTGTTCGCTCCACTCTCAAACAACAACACTCCAGTCAGGCGGGTGTCTCCTGTAAACCTCATCTCCTTTACGCCCTGATACCTACGCTCCCGTTCACAGGCTTTAAGATGGACAGTTTATGTATCCTGTAATTTGTTGGAAGCATGTTTTGAGAATGCAGACAGTTTAAGCATTAAAAATGCATTTGTTTGTAAAACTTCCGATGTTGATTTTTTTTTTTTTTTCCTGTTCATGTTCTATGATGCAAATGTAGAAACAGGCTAAGCGCTAGAAATACATTTGGTCAATAGTATAAAAAAAGTATTCAAACATTTTTAAAGATTTTATTGTGGGTAAAAAAGTATTTACAGCAAAGGCGTGTGGTGGAGTTGCAGAGATTAAAAACATGCACTAGTCCTTTAATCACACTGAGCAACTTCTCTGCTTGTTCCTCTCCATCCCTTTAACAGTATAATTCAGCCTCATTTTATGCATTAAAAGTTTTACTGCCATAACAATGTATAAGGACAAGGCCATTGCTGCTTTTCTTTTTCTCATTTTCCACAAATCCTACAGAGACTAAGACCCAACCCAAAGGTTACTTATGTCTGTACATCCAGAACCTGGTTTAGCTTATTCATCTGTAGCGCAGAAATCCATTGTTTGAAAGCACCAGTGAGCTACACTGCTGCAATGGGTGACACCTTTCTTCCTCATGTATGTCGTCTTTACCCAAAGAAAGAGCTCTAGGCGCAAAAAACAGCTTCTGAAGTAAAAGTCGACATGTGATCTTGGCTCTGTCTGCACTACTCCACTAACTTACTGTGTGTGTACCCATTTCTCCCGCGGGAGAAACATGTCACCCCGTGCAGAAATGTGGCTGACTGCTGTTCTCTCTTTTTGTGGCATAAACCAACAATGCAGGGTTTATCCTGCAGATAAATGAGCTAAACCAGGTTCTGGATTCAGATATTGATAGTCTCTTCATAGGATTTGTGGATGTTGACGAAAACTAAGTCACCTTATCCTGTAACTACACTGCAAAAAGTGAAATATATAAAGCAATCAAACATTAAACACAATAGTATAAAGTTACCAGCTATTATAACTTTGTTTTTAAATTCTTTGAAAGACAGCCTTCCTCTGAATAGCTCAGTATTTCCCCCTGAGGATACGAGGGGTGGAGACAGGACTGGGAGGTGGAGATGGCTGACGGGACCGTAAAATCTGCAAGGAGGGGGTCATGTTTGATTCTTCAGCAGCACGAGTGTTGTATTTACGTGTTGGCGTGTGTATTGGGAACAGAGACTGGAAAAAAGGCCGTTTCACTGGAGGTCTGTTTTCAGTGTCATTTCCTGCAGCGGCCCCACAACCCCTCTTCTTACAGGAACTTGAAATGGTGGAGGCAGCAAAGCCCGAGGGGGGCAGTTGGGCCTGCATGGCCTCCGTCTTGGCCAGGGTCTCTTCTTTGCGCCTTAAGTCAGCTTTGACCAGCATCAGGCTATTCCGGAGCTCCATCAGGATCTGATCCTAAGAAGAAGTCAGTCAACAGGGTTAGACCAGACCACAGAGGGAGATGAAGTGAGGTGGGATGATTATGTGACAGAGAGGAGGTGAGGCCAAATGCAGCTGTTGGACATGCTTTTGCTCTTTCACTATTACTAGCACTGGTGCAGGTGTTAGAAGCTTAGATTTAGTTTAAAAAGCTGGCTGTGCATCATTATTGTTAGTAAAGAGAACAGAGGGAGAGAAAAACAGTGCATTTTATATTGAGAATCGCTCTTTAAATAGATGCTGATGTAGTGTTAACTGCATCTTCTCAGAGGTATTCTTAATATTCTGACCCTCATGTATGTCAATGGGTAGGACAAAAAAATAGACACATCTGAATATAATGTAGTCCAGTACAACACCACCTTCCACTATAACCTCAATGATGAACATATAATTGAATTTATATACGACGGTCTCACCAAAAACAAACATTTTGAGCTTCAGCAACACAAGTGTTATGGCAGAAGTGTTGCATTGAAGTGCATACAGATGTACAGGTGGTCATAATGTTGTGCCTAATTGGTGTATATACACAGTATCTGTGGTTGTACCTGTTTGAGTAGTGTGTCGTGTGCAGCTACTATTGCCTGGCGTAACTTCTCTCCTCCTGTGATGCGACAGCAGGCTCGTTCACCAGACTGCAGGTCCAGCCTGAGTCTCTGCAAATCCAGACACAGTTGACGCAGGTTCTGTTGGGTGGGGGAGTGGGGGGGTTAGTCTTTCTGAGGTTTGAGAGCCAGCAAAAACAATAGTGCTGGTATGACCCAGCGGTAACTGACCCGTTGACCTTCCTCCAGCTTGCGTTCAGCAGCACCGGTGAAGTTGCCTGTTGAACCTGAGACTTCCAGCTCCATCTTCAGCTTTTTCAGCTCTGTGGAGACGAGCACAGCAGTTAATATACTAAACTGATCAGCCACTTTTATATACAGCTGTATAACTGTTTGCACTTCACTGCAACACTTCTGCCTTAACACCTGTGTTTGGTGAAATTGTCAAAAATATAAATTCAATTACATGTTTATTATTGAGGTCATAGTTAAAAGGTGGCGTTGTACTTGACTACATTTTATCCAGACGTGTCTATATTTTTGTCCACCCCAGCTACATTAAAAAAAAGGTCAAAATATTAGGAACACCTCTGAATATAATGTAGGCCCGTACAATATGACCTCAATAATAAACATAATTGAATTTATGCATTTGACAATTTCACCAAAAGGAAACATTTGGAGCTTCATAAACAGAGGTGTACTTAATAAAGTGGCCAGTCAGTATAACATCAATACACAGAGCGGTGTTTAAATCAGCCTGTACCTTGTGTTTTGGTGAGCAGCTCAGCGCGGCACTGGTCGAGCTCAGTGTTCACTCTGCCATGTTTTGTCTGAGTACTGAGGCGCTGAGAACGTCGAGGCCCCTCACATTCTGCTTGTGGTGCTGACAGGGTGATGGATTCAGCTTCTTTTTTTTCAAGGGCAGCAGACAGCGCTTCAATTTCCTGATCACGCTCCTATGAGAGAGAATGAAAAACTGGTGAGAATTCATGGCACAGAAATTCTAACAACTTAGCACAGAAAGCACAGCGGATACTCAGTGGATTTGGGAATATCATTTTACTGAAGTGTAGATTTGACAGACTAGGTGCACGTTTCAACCATCCCATGGGGACAGACAATGTCTTAAATTCATGCAGACTTGAAGTTAATCATGAACTCCGACCTTCAGTTCCTGGCTGTAGAACTTCTTTAAATGTTTCTGCAGATTAGCAATCTTTTCCTCGTACCTCTCTTCGATTAGAGCCCTCTCTGCCTCCAAGGTCTCACTGTAAGGCAAAAAGACATCACAGCTCAGGGCCTGTATTCATCTCAATATCCAACAATTAATGATTTCAATGTCACAAATTTTCTCTTTCCATCAAGAATACAAAGTGCTTTTTTTCTTCTTCTGAGTTTACTTGACTAACTTTAATTAATGGCAATTTCTATCAAACCAAAACATCAGCTACACACACCTGAAGCCTTCTTGCATTCTAGAGATGACCTCCATCATCTCAGAGACCACCTGCTCTCTCACGCTTGCCTCGAGAACTTCCTTCTCTTCCCGCTGGCGCTGCACCTCCCTCTTCAGGACATCGATGGCCTGCAGCAAAGCCTAAATAAAGTGCAGTCAGCTGTTAGAATGCTGGAAAAGTGTCTGAAATGCTCCTTTAAAATCCATCATCAAGGTGTTAATATGAGGAAAACTCCCACAGACTCTTATAGATGAAGGCTATATAGTTCTCACAGATGAGGCAAATGATGTTACCTCAGTATTTAACATGGTGATATCTCCATCTTCAACATCACTCTCGTCCTCTTCTTCCTCTTCTACCACCATGCTTCCATTCTCATTTTCTGTTTTCTGTTCGCGCAGCAGAGAGAGGATGTAGGCCACTCTGGTCTTTGAGGATGGGCCATGGACCAGCTGAAATGATATGTGGGATGTTCATTTCTCTTTTTTGGTGTTACCCCCTAAATGAGGAATTACATTCAATATACAACATTTCTTACTTGGGTAGCAATAGCAGAGAATTTGAGGGCCTGCAGGGTCTCATCATAAATGGAGGCACATGGATTGATGTTGACCACCATGCTGGAGGTTCCTCGGCCACAGAAGAAACCCTGCAGGACCCGGGTCAGTTTACTGTCCCTGAAGGGCACCACTTGAGGGGGTCGTGATCTGTGGATGTAGTGGTACATTTTTCAAATACAGCTCTTTTTCCAAAGAGCACATTCAAATATTTTATGATAAAAAGAAAAACTTGTGACAAAACCTTAACTCAAAGGGGCTACTTCCTATCTCTAGAGTAGTGTTGCACGATATACCGGTACTAGTATGGTACCGCGGTACTGAGGCATTTAAAATGGTACTATACTGCATTTGGACGGTACCGGTACTGGCAGCGCCGCCGCCGGCAGCGCCCGCCCG